GCAATCAGTTTACTTTCTTCCAAAATGGGAAATCATGGCCCTCGACTTAACTGCACTGAGAAGCATGCTGCACAGAGTTTGGAGAGGAATCATGCAGATTCACTGCAAACAGTTTTGTGTTACAGTAGAGAAGCAGCAGAGGCCATGGATGGAGTCATGCACTGTTTCACCCACAGAAATGTGGAAACCTACTATCCAGCTGCCCAACGAGCAGAGAGTTTGAAAGCTTAAGAAAACACGTGAACAAACAGAATGACATCCAATCAAAAGTTGCTTCTTCCTCTCTACTTTCCAAAATGCTAGTTGCTGTTGGGTTAAATGCTTTTATTGATCTCACTCACCTCAAAAAAATTTACAGCTTGCAATATCCACAAACTCAGCATAAAGGGGCTGATACAGCAGGCAATTTTCTGCTCCCAAAGAAGATCTATCTCTACTGACTTCCCCTTTTTCAGCTGATTTGCTTCTATTATTCCTAATGTTGGTGAACAAGAGTGGGTTTGTATATTTTTTCCCATTCTCCTCAAAATTTCAACTGGAAAAAAAATTACCAGTAGCGACACACACACATTAGGCGAGGAGAGGGTGGACAAAGCCGGAAGATTAAAACCATCCTATCTGACCCCAGCGGTCCTCTAGTACCCACGGCCACGTCCTGCCGTGGGGGTGGCCCTCCGGTGCCCTGGGGGGGACAGGGGCAGCTGCGGTGGCAAGCAGCAGGGTGTGCGTCCGCTAGTCACCCCTGCCCGGCGGCCGGGGCGGGGGGGAGGCCAGGGAACAACAAAGCGGGCTGTAAAGCCTCCAGGTGGTGGGTGTATTTGTTGTCCTGTCTGCGAGGTGCGGTGGCTCCCCGGCCCCGGCAGATCCCAGTGCTGCTGTGGACATCAAGAAAAGTCTCTTTTGGCTGATTCCAAAACCAGATAAGGAGCCGCCGAGCCACCAGCTCTGTCTAGACTCTGGACCTCACAAGTCAAACTGGTTGTTTGGATTAGCCTTGGAGATCTACCGACCTGAACAGCCCTCCTAAATAAAAGCCACAGTAACACCCTATTTTCCTCTTCCCATTGCCGCCCGACGTCTGCCCGGAGATAGGAGGCGAGGTCTGCTTTGGTGTGTGTCACTTATTTCTGGAAAACTTTTCCGCCCTCTCTCTCCGACAAACACACCTTGCCCAGTTTTGTCTGCCAGGGGAAGGAAAACAAAACAACAACAACAACAACAAAAACACACAAAAAAACCCAACAACAACAAAGAACCCCACAATAAAAATTCGGAGAAAAAAAAAAGGCAGAGGCACTTCAGCAAAATCCTGTTTTGAAATCTTCCTCCTTCCTTCTCTCCCCCAGCCACACACCCCAGGAGATCCTCTAAGGAGAGCGGCCCTGTCGCTGCCCCGGTGCTGCTGGTCCCGGGAGACCCTGCCCAGCACAGAGGGAAGGCTACGACACCTCTCCTCTCCTTTGCGTCCACGGGTCAGCCCCGAGCACTTGTTTGGTGGCTCTCGGGCGCGACAAGTTCAAAGAAATCCAAATGAAAAGGGAACCTAACATAAAAGCTGCATCCCCGGATTGGGATGCTTCGGAGAGCAGAGCAGAGCTCCTAACCCGACCCCCGGCACGGGAAGGAGGCTCCGGGAGACGTAACGGTTAATTTTGTACCCCCGCAGCAGATGCCGTGAGATATAGAAAGCTCTGTCCTACACAGGAGAGTCTTTTCCATCCACCCACTTCCCCCCCCCCCCCCCGGTGCCTGCCTCCTTCGGAGCTGCCTCCTCCGCCTGCACTTCACAAGTCCCTGGAGGTGAGGAGTGATCCTCCAGTACGGCCGGCACACTGGGAGCAGTTAAGTTTATATTTGTGGCGCCTGGGCTCAAACAGTCATTCAGTGGCTTGCTCCGTTATCAAGAAAACAACAATCAGGAACAATCAGTAAACAGGATCTCTTTCCAGCCCCTTTATTAACTACTTACAGTTCCACTGAAGCAGGCAAACCTCCCAGCAGTGGCACTTCGCACCGTAAAACGCTGTCGGCCTTTCGGGCGTGCAGGGTGGTCGTGAAACGGTGCTCGTGAAAAGCGCCCAGCACTCTATCCCTGAACCCGCTCTGGCTGTGACTCCGTCCCTTGCGCTGCACTGAGGCTTCGGCGGCCCGAGGGCCGACACCTCCGGAGGGCCCCTCATTCTTTCCCCACTGCCTATCTCTGGTTGACCCAATGTGAATTTGTTAAAATACGTATGTGTGTATATATATATATGTACATATACATATATAGAGAGGCAAGGACTTACTGTTGAGATGTTCGACTGATCTCGGCGCTGGAATTCATGTACCTGGCTTATGTGTCTCTATGCTACGTCGGCTGGAAATGCTGAGAGTTAATTAACCTGGTACAAATATTGAAATTAGAAGAGTTTGAATATTGGTTTCTGCGTGTGCAAACAGAATTCTCAGAGAAATTACATCAAGGCTTTACAGACCTTACTTGACACTGTTGAGGGAGGCTGGAGCAAGAAAACCGGAGGACCCGGGTCTGTTAATTGCCGGCCGTACGCGTATCCTAAAGAAGAGCCATAGCAGGAACGTGCACAGTGCACTGTGAAGACACGCATTTCACCAACAGAATGTTTTCTCTCGCTTGTGCAAATCCTTTCTGAGCTCAGGAAGGGTGTTCTCCTGAAGGCATTAGGAGGGACCTCTCGAAAGTTTGTCTCTGTCCCATGGCTGATAACAGTCATTGGAGGTTGGAGGAATGGAGGGAAATACGCCACAAGTGTATGAAGCGGAAAAGAGACCCAAAGGCCATAGAAGAATCCCCTACCCCCCCCCCCCACACACACGAGAAATGATATTGTATTAGGACGAGTTGTGCTTAACTGAAGGCTCGCGGGAGAAGGCTCCAGTGACCTCGGGCAGCACGTCTGCACAGCGGGCGGCCCGGAGCGGAATGTCTGCAGCCGGGAGGGGCACGGAGACCCCGAGTAACCGCAGCAGAAGTGACCACAGCCGCCGCGGAAGGCTCGGAGGGGGCAAGCATCCCATGGGGGTGCAAGGAGGAGCTCGGCCGTAGGTGTGAGTGGAGACACATGCCGACCAGGGCTCCCGCCCGCAGCCCTCCGAAGACACGCTGCCATATGCCTTGGAGGACCAAAATGCTACTTCGGCAGCCCAAACGCAAACCCCTGCCTCCCGCCAGGCCGCTTATCTCGGCGGCAACCCCAGCGGCCGGGAGAGCTCTCCGGGACCGCGGGGTGCCACGCAGCACAGCGCAGAGCTGGGGGGGCTGCCTCCTGGCAAGCAGCAACAGCCAAAATCCACCTCTCCCTTCCGTGTAGCCCTCGGAGACGACAGACCCTCACCGACCCTAAGATCCTGGGAGAAGTGGGGAGGGGGAGGTGTCACAGCAACCCACCGACCCGAAGTTGCTCTCCCGCGGGGTCACCCCCTCCCCCCGCAGCGTAACCCTGTGCCTCTCCCCCTACAAGTTAGCTCCCAGGCGGTGAAGGGTGAACGCAAAGGCCCCCGCGTTGCCCTGACCTTACAGGTTTCCAGTGCCATTTGAAGACACCCCCCAGGTCAGAAAGTCGGTCTCCAACCTCTCCAACCATCTTCTTTCCCCCGGGGTCAATAAGAGCTACTCAAGCAACTTACAGGTTAAACCACGGGAGAAATGACACCCTTTCTCCCTCCCACCACCCGAAGCGTGGTACCAAGCCTCTGATCCTGTATAAAAACACAAAGGTTACTGATCACACAATTTAAGGTAGATTTCATATTTATTTAAATATTTATCAAGTACTCAAAAATGTATTACACTTGAGCATACAAAATGAATCCAGTTTCTAATCAGGATGATTGAAATCCTTGTACTAGACTTTTAACTTTTTTTTTTATGTTCTCAGTACTGTCGAAATGGTTTGTCTCTATAGCTGAGCTTGCTCAGGGTGGGCTGAGATGGTGAGAAGGGAGAAAAAAGAAGGTTATGTTAAAAAAACCATTAGAGTCTGGAGTAACTATCATGCAAACCAACTTGTCTTTGTCAGACTAAAAGTCTCCATATATTCCAGTTAAGGGTTTTTTAAAGAGAGCCTTTGTCTTGTGCTGGCCGGGAGCACTAGGGAGCACTCAGAGCAAAAACAAAACCTTTTTTTTTTTTTTTTTTAAATACTTTTCCCCAAGAAATCACCCACGTTTCTAGCTTTCACCACCCTCTCCCCCGCAAATTAAAAAAGGAAGAAAAGAGGGAGTGAAGAGAGGGAAGTCGACAGAAAATAAGGAACACTATTCGTGCAATTTCATAGCAATATCCCCATAACGTATACCTCCTGCAGCATTATTCAATCGTTTTGACAGCAGACACTGATAAATAATGTTCATACTTGACTTATTAAGCAAAAAGCGTCCCTTTTATCAGGAGCTTATATGTAAAGTACAGGTCACTTCAACAATCTCAACAACGAGGCTTTGGTATACAGCACTTTCTTTTTTATTATTTTTAAAAAATAACAGAACTCAGCAAAAAGCCTGAGCTCCCAGGTTTTTTAGATGTCTTAACGTTATGTCAGATCATGCCTAGAGTAATATCACTTTTAAGGGCAAGGGATGGGGGGACGGGGACAAGAGAGCTTCTAATATTATCGATTGAAAGCTAAGGCATCCAAATAGCCCTGATATAGTTGTTGAAATGGAAATTTACAAGCTGGTCGTTAATACTTGCAATAAAATATCACACTCTTTTTATTCACTAACGACCTGCTTTACATGCAATATTTTATTTCAGGTATTTTAGCTGCTAACTTGTAAATATTTAAAAGAGGGAACTTTGTTCATTATTTAATATTAATATTATTATTTTCTCTATTCTGAACGCTTATTTAGTGAAATAGTCCTGAAGATATAATAATTCTACATATGGCGCTTTCAGTTCACATACTCTTTAAGAAAAAAAAAAAGACAAAATCCACATAGAATTAGACATATAATTCAAAGACCACGGTACAACCTTTCCTTTTTTTTTTTTTTTTTTACTTCAGCAAACAAAAAATAGTCAAATGACATGAAAAGTGGCAAGTCTTCCGATAATAAATAATAAATTACTTTATAATTTTGCAATGCAAGAGCAAACAAAAAGGGGTTTCTTTTCTTTTTTCCTTTTCTTTTTTCTTTTTTTTTTTTCTCTTTATTTTTAGAGAGTGAGAGAGAAAGGGAAAGAGAGAAAAACAGTCGTTTTAACCAATGACTATACATATCTTTGGGGGAGGGGAAGGTTCTTGGACTGACACATTTCAAACACAATCCCGAGACGCTTTGTGGCAAAATAGAGGTATAACTTGTTGCAATGTTTTTATAAATTGTTTTTTCTAAGAGGAATTCAAAAACTTGTTTTAAATCGCTTCAGACTTGATAAAGAGAGTGGATCTCAACCAAACAAAACCAAAACCCCGCTACAGTACATGCTAGAAGAGACCCAGGAAATATCCCCATATTAAGAGTCAACTAAAAACAACATTGCAAACCAATGCAGCTCCACCTTCCTCCAACGAACCTTTCAACAATTCAGGGCTACATCGTCTCTTTCCTGATGATGGAAAACATGCTGGAGCTCCTTTTGGCAAGGCAATCACCAATATAGAAACAGCACCGTTCGGATTGGGAGAGACTGGATAGAAGGTCCCTCTACCTTGGTTTCTTCCGAAGATGTGCAGTCAAATGAACAGGTAATTTTTTTTCACTTTTTTGTTTTGTTTTGTTTTCTTTTTGTGAGCCACGAGTACAAATCCTTTACGTTTTGAAAACGTCTTTTCAATCCTCCTCTGATCATTGAATAGAGCACGTTTTGTTGTTGGGTTTCTTTTTCTTTTTTTCTTTTTCTTTTTTTCTTTTTTTTTTTTTTTTAAGTATTCTGGTAAGATCCCATGATTGTCTTCACAGTGTTGCTACCATATTACCTTGTCTTTTCAAACATGACTCCGTTCATTTCATGGAGCGATTCCTTGCTAGGTTCATTACAGGGCTGTTAAATACTTCCCCCCCCCCTAAATTTCGGAGTCCCAACAAGATCACTTTCCCACTCTCTCCAGCAGGGGTGAGGGTAAGGGCAGAAACAACAACAACAGAAATCTGAATTAATGTTCCTCATGCCTCAATAGGACTGGCTACCATGCTGTTGGGTGTATCTGGAAGCTGAGAAGACATTGATGCTACTTCACTTCCCGTAGAATTGGAACCGGGTCCTCCTTCTGAAAAATTAACCTGACAAAAAAAAAAAAAAAAAAGAAAAAAAAAGAAAAGAAAAGAAAAAAGAAAAGAAAAAAAAAAGTATTGTTACAAGTGTAACAATCAAAGATGAGTACCAGGCAAAGAAGAACGCAAAAATAAATACAGAGGCATGCATCCAAACGGCCTGACACATCTCCACAGGAGGCTGTGTCAGAGTTTGTTGCTTTGTTTAGCTTCCCCATTGACTTCACAGGAATCTTCTTAAGGCCTTCGGCCAATTCATGGGAAAAAAAAAGCAGGTTAAAAAAAAAATAATAAAAAATAAATGTAAAAGACTGAAAAATCAAGCAAGTAAACAAACAAACTTATTAATGAGCCTTCTTCCCTGACTTCCGAGACTGGCAATCCCAACAGGATGTTCTAGTCAATTATTTAAGAGTGCATGTGGGTTTTTTTTTTTACGCGAAACTGCAAGGTTACTTTTTTTCCTCTTTTGTGCACATGCTAAAATAGACGTGGAAGGAGCATCCAGGAGCAGAAAGCATTTGAAACAAGCCATCCTCTGTCATTTGTGATTTGAAGAGGGTGCTATCTCTTTTTAACGAGAGTCAGTTTGATAAAAAAGGTCACACTTCTCCATCCTAACGTGCCCCGCGGCTCCCGTAGGTTTGGGAGCAGCGATGGGAAAAGGCATGGTTTGAAAGGCAGAGCTTTAATAATGCAAAAGCATTTCATTGGCACCTATTTAGCTGGACGATCCTGTGATTAAAGCCTTCTCCAGATTAGAGACCTGTTTTGAACAGTCGGTGAACTGCCTGTTCCATCCACTGTTCTTTATTTTAACTCTTTTTAGTATCAGACATTATGTCCTATATATATTAATCCCTATTGACCTGTCTATCTAAAGATCTATCTACCTATATGTGTGTGTATTTGGGCTATCCATCTTCCATCCTTGCCCGTTCCTCCTCTTTTTTCTTTTCTACAACTACTCCATACAGAAACTCACTGCATCAAAAGTTTTTAAGGTCACCTATTCTGTTAAGGCACAATAAGTAAGGCAGCCAAAAGAGATGATTTTTTCTCGTGTCTGCTTGACATCTTGACTAAAGCAGAAAAACCTGTGGTTGCTCTAGAGGTAAGATGATGCAAACAGTCCTGCTGCTGTGCTAAAGCTTCCTGCAAGAGCGCGGTGTGCCAGGTGAGGGGAAGCAGGCTGCAACCCACCACCGGGCAAAAGAAAAGCAATCATGCAAGCAGCGTTGGCGCTGAAAAGGTCTGAAAACTATCCTAGACGTGGCTACAAGCCTACATTTTCCATTGCTTCATGTCAAAAAAATGTCCAGCAGATCAAAAAAGGGTCTATATGTTTATTTTTCATCATAAACTTTTGGTTTTTGAATCACTGAAAACCATCTTATTATTTTAAGGATCCGGTTTTAATATATTTAGGCCAAGAAATTGAATTAAGGCTGAACTTTTGTCCTTAATTCACCTTTTTGGGACTAGGTATTAAATTATATGGTCCCTTATAAACTGCCAAGTGACGCAGGCATGAGGAAGTGAGTTAAGAACAGAATTTATTCTAAGAGGTCTGTTTTCTTTTGGCTTAAGGCAGTTTATTACATTGTTTGAATTTTTCACCTAAATATGTACTAACACTTCCCTTTCCAAACAACATTTAATGTAAACTATATGTATGTATATATTTGTGTGTATGTATGTATCTATAGCTATATGAAGTTGTATCTAGAGGTATCTGCTTAAAACAAGGACTTCAAAACTTTAATTAAGTTATTCGTGTTTGTGTGAAAAGAACAGCGGCACAGGCTGACATTGCAATTAACTATTTAAGTCTACCCTACCTCAGAAAGGCAAAATTGGTCCGAAGTGGGGAGGGGGGAGTTTTAGAAAAGGCTTTCACCAATGTGCATATAATTTACACGTGACGAATACTTTAGTTCTCTGGATCTCTCAGTTTTCAGGGGTATGCGAGCTAAGTTAAGTCTGAGACCTACTTCAGGCCTTATCCATCTCTCTCTCACTTCAGCAAGAGCCCTGCTGTGCCCTAAGCTAGGTTTCACACCAAGACCTGTGAAATCAGTCCAGTTCGCCACGTTTACAAAGTGTCGTCATGCTCACCTTGCAATTTCAGGAAAACCCGGCTAGTCTGGATGGCTCATCTCTCTGAGGTCATCCGGTACCTTTAGGGAATCCCCCATTGTTCTGCCCCGGGTACCGGCTGGCCTGCTTCGGCTGGGAACCGACACTTACTAGTTGCTGAAAAGCAGGTTGGTCTATGTCACTCTGCAATGCGAAGTCGCTCAGTACTTTCCAGGGCGGCTGGTAACTCTGCACCTCCACCGGGTTCGCCTGTAAACCACCGTCATGTCTCTCTGGACTAGCAGCCACCATCGGAGTTCCTGTCATCCCCTGGATATTCTGTAAACAGCCCAGCAAAAGATGTTAATGAGCTTGGTTAACTTTATTGTATATAAGCGCTGAGTCAATAAACTGCTTTCTATCTTATCTATACAGTCGCTTGTATTTGCTTTGTTAATCTGCAGTGAATGTCTTACTCTATTCTACTCTAGGTCAGCCTATTCCTACCAGCTGCATTTATCACGGTGGAAGTTTACTTTCTTTCCCTTTAATCCTCCCATTTCTCTCAAGGCATAACCCTCCACCCCAAGCTTTCTAAAACACAAGCACTCTCTATCTTGGCTGCCGATGCACAAGAAACGGTTAATCATGCTGCCTTTCTATGCCTTTCTATTTCGCATCCAGGAGGGTTTTATTTTGCATGACCTTAACTGTATCGTATAACCACGGCAAACCTGGGGTACGTCTATCCAAAACATTTAAAAAAAAGAAACCCCAGCCCTCACAGTACGCCCTGTGGTGCAAGCACTGTGTACAAAATAACTCCGAGACTCGACGAATATATTGTTCGGGAGAGTTAATAACATCGTGTTTTATTGCATTCCAACAGGGTAAAATGAAACCCCTTAAATTCCACTTAAATAGGCAGCCTTATGAATTAATAGTCATCCTCAGGTCAGTCAATATACACAAAGAGAAAAACAGACTCTTCTTCAAGTGGATAACAACGAGGGGGGAGGGGAGAGGAAGAAAGAAAAAAGTTGACTTTAAAGGGAGAGAGCCAGTTTGCTCTGCTGTACCCAGCACTTTCCGCTTATTTGCACCACATGTGCATATGCCCGCAGACAAGAACTGAATATGTTTCTTCACGATGATTATATATAGTTAAAGTAACCTGTAAACACGATGGTGATTCCAAAAACTTTGCATTGCATTTGTCTTTTGCTGCAGTGAATGTACTGACAAACATATGCATGCACACTGTAGTATGTAAAGTGCTAAGAAAATACATCCGATTTCCCTTTTACTCATGGGTTTTACTTCTGTGTTTACTTCTGCGTAAAACCATTGAAGAGGGCGAAAGCATCATTTTCCCCTGAGGACTGCTTTGCATTTGCAATATCAATATTACACAAGGCTGGGCTTATTATATCCCTTAAGCTCTGCAGGTCGCAATTCATGCTGCCGAGAAGTTAGTCTAATCCTCTGCGTATCCTTAGACCCGCAAAATGACATGTGTTCGCTTGAGCAGCCTATACGGGCTTCTCGCTATGGTCTGTTTTAATTGCACTGACGACAGAAACAAGAGGATAATAGTTAAACGCTATCATTTTCTTTAAGGGAGCTCCCTCAAAAATCAAAAGCGTCAGACAGACCCCGGGGGCTGGCCGGGCTGGATACAGCCCAGGCGTTTCTCTTCGGGAAGGGAGGCAGTGCACGGCCAGAAGCTGAAGCCACTTACGGTTTTGTCATTGGGTTGCTGCTGCTGAAGTTGCTTCATCATAATGCTCCTTTTTTTGTCCTTGCACCGCTTGTTTTGAAACCAAACCCTGATGACCCTCGGGCTGAGGCCAGTCATTTCTACCAGTTGCTCCTTCATGAGGGCGTCAGGTCTAGGGTTGGCAGCGTAGCAGGTCCTCAAGGTGTGAAGCTGCTTTTCATTAAGGACAGTCCGGACTCGGGTGGTCTTCTCGGGCTGCTTGTGGACGTGGGGTCGCAGAGCTGGCTGTCTGGCAGAGATAGGTTCTGCTGTAAGGGAAGGGGAAGGGAGGAACAGGATCCCCATGAGTAGAAAGCAGGGAGTCTGCAGAGGCTATGAATCTAAGTTGGTGGGACAGGGGGAGGCAAGGAAGTGGGGGGGGGGGGGTGAACCCGCTTTTCAAAGGCCATTCAAGCAGTCAGATCTACCGGAGCTTCTGCAGCCTCCTCTGCTTTTATGCGCCGGTGGAGTGACAAGACTGACATTTCTGACTCCACAGATAATTAATTTGCAAAAACAAACCACCCCCCTAAAACCCTTAATGACAGAAGCTTGAACCTCTGTGAGGCTTGACAGGAGAGGGCGAGCTCGCCAAGGTGTGCGTGCGCTAGGGAAGGAGTGGGAGGGTTTTATGTATTTATTCCCTGACAAATCACCAAAACAGCTTTTTGGCCTTAAAATTAATGAAAGAATACTTCTTATATTAATCATAATTTCTTTTTGCTTTTTGTATACGGAATCAAGCTCAGTTTAGCCAAAGGACGCGATAATGTGCAACACCTCCCGGCACTCTGATGCCACCAAATAGAAGCAGTAAAAGCCAAATCCACTGCATCATGACCTTGTAGGAAAATCCTGCGAGAGCAGAGTATCTCAGAGCTTGGAATACGGAGTCTATCTTAGAAAGTGGAGGTGCTAGATGAATTTATGTCGACTTTTGACAAATACTTGAAAAAATAGGAATGTTTCGCCAATTCTTTTAAAGGGGAGCAAGCCTAGTAACTTGTGGAAACCACCAAGAAGTGCAAACCTATTGGTATGTACATCAAGAACTGAAAGTATTCGTGTGATTCTGATATTCTTATGTGTATTGTGTAGCTGCAGCTATATAGATGTAATTTGACCCCCCCTATCCCCTTAAACTCTGGTTAGCTAATATTCAGAAGTGTTCGCTTTTGTACAGTCGAGTTCCGACTTTTTTGACTATAACAATAAATCAGCAAATGAGATAAAGACGATACGAAGCTTCACATCTTAGCAGTGTTGTACCTGCCTTCACAGTATGCCTTTCAGAGACATGCATAAACATGCTGTAGGGAGCACGCACCATCTCTATACAATTCTGCCGTGATCAGCTATGGAATTATTTCTCCCTGTATACAGATATGTCACCTGGAAGTGGCTCAGAAGCGGGAAAGGAGCCTGTTTAAACATAGCTATGTTTGTAAACAACTTTTCTAGTTACAGCTACTTGCACAGCAATAACGCCAGCCAACCTTTAATTGTCCAGCCTAGTTTGCCTCAGAGGCGTGCCCCTTCCTAAAGCTAAGCGTCTCTGAGTATCTGATGGGCTCATCGAGACCTGAAAATGTAAGTAGAGTTGTAAGGTGGGTGGACTGTGAAGATACAATGCCGAGTTTTAAGCTGAAATTCTCACCATATCACATAAAACGTTTCAGGAAGGCAGAGTCACTTTAAAAGGCAATTACCGAAGATTAGCTTGTTGACAGTTTTAAATTACAGCCTAAGTGCTCGCCTGTAGTAACGAAGTCTATCTCTCCTCGGACCCCGCTTCCTCCGGTGCTCAGCTCCACACGCTCCGGAAGCGGAGAGCTCATTGCCGCAGACCTGCTCCCTGCAGCGGCTCGTCCCGCTCCGGCTTAGGCCACCGACCCTGGCTGAGGTGGGGGGCACACATAGGACCCCCGCACCCGGTGCGATGCGGGAGAGGGAGGGCTGGAGGATGGGGGGCGCGCCCCCCGCAGGTGGCTCCGCCTCACGCGCACCGCATGCGCGGGCTTTTCTCACGGCCACCTCTCCGCAGGCGCGCACGCCCGAGGCCGCCTTTCCGCGGGGTTACGGGACTGGGTGCAAGCAGCTGCGCACTCCCTTCACAGCAGAGCCGTGCTGCGCTGAACCCCGCGGGGTCCCGCGGCGCCGGGTGTGGGGCGGTACCTGCCATCTGCAGCGGCCGGGCTGGATGCAGGGGGCTGAGCGGGTCCCCCGCGCCCAGGCTGGCCCGCTCCACCACGTCGTGGTCCGCCCTGCAGAAGAGGCCGTCCTCCCGCAGCGCGAATTCGTCGCCGGGGATGAGCTGGCGGCTGCAGGCCACGCAGCGGAAACACTCGATGTGGTACACCTTGGCGCGGGCGCGCATCACGAAGTCATTCTTGCTGAAGCCGATGCTGCACTTGGCGCACTTGATGCCGTATAACCTGAGCAGGGCCCAGCCCAGATAGAAGGAGAAGGGAAGGAAGGAGAGAGAGCACGGGAGGGGGAAGGGGAAGGGCAGGGAATAGATGTGGGAGAAGGAAGGAGAAAAAGAAAGAGAGAGGTTTTCACTCCCGCTCGTGGGCAGCCCCGTGGCCCCGCGTAGACGCGCCACACGCAGTTCACTAAACAAGCCTTAAAAATACAGAAGCCAGTAGAGGAAAGGAATAAATAGGATTTGCTTGCTGCCGGTACCCTGCCGTGAAAGGCTGTGAGGACCCGGACTCACCGGTGTGTAAGGAGAGGGGGAAGGGAAGGGGCTATTGGAGGTGGAAGGAGAAACAGCAGTAGAAACAAAAAAGCGACACCCTTCCTTCCCGAGGAGATGCCGACCTCTCCCTCCCGCCCCAGCGCCTGGGTTGCAGCAGGCGACGGACCGTCCCTGCCTTCTCCTTCCCTCCCTCATTACATTGGGATCTAGCCTGTCCCGGGGCTGAACCGAAACGTCCGGGTACACCGGGTAAAGGGGAGGCTGGCGAGGCTGCCATCCCCTCCTCACTCACAAATATGCCAGCCTCACCTAAGGGTGTTATTTTCGCAAGGAACCCACTCAAGACTTCGCTCTTAATGCGTGCGGGGCTGTCGGCTACTCAGCCCCTGTGACTTAGCAGCAGGGGCGGCTCTGCTAGCGGCATGGGCTCTTCCTCTTGTCCCATCTCACCAGGTCTACTTTACACACACACCTTAGGTATGTGTATACATTCTCACGCATATAACAGTGAAACTCCCACCCGCCCCCCACAAGAAGGCATTTTAGGTGCCTTGGCTCTGCAGCCTGCCCCTGCCTCAGCCCACCCGGGTCAGTCTAGCCCCCGCCGACGATTCCACCTTGCGCCGGGGCTTAAGCCCTCCAGCATGAGTGAAAGGGCAGTTCTCGCTGACAGCCCCACGCAGCAAATAATGGGTTTCTGGCGTAAGCAGCGGGCTCCTCGTCTCCCGTGGAGCAGAGTGGGACAGTTCACCCATCAGCAGATGAACACGAGAAAACGCTCCAACTCGGGTGCCTAGAATTGCAGTCTCTCGGCTCCCGCCGAGTGCTCCTCTGACGGACTCCTTGTCATTAGGTAACATTAACATCTTTCCGCAAATGTGGGGGTACACGCACACGACCCACAGAACTGTGAAAGCTATTGCTAAAGCTGAGCTAATATTCAACCCATTTCCTTACGAGTACACTTCCTTAGAGATAGTCTGTAGTGTATGCATGTGGGTGCAGATGTATATTTACATACAGCTTTAGCTGCTGACTCTATAGAGGTATACAAAACTATAATGTAGAGCTATGCATTTCTGAATTAAAATTCTGAGAAGAACCCCCTTCCCCCAAAAAACAGATAAGCAGAAAAAAAGAACGGAGCGATCTCAGAGTACATGCATTAATAGGTACAAAAGTTGGGGGAGTGCCCACATATCTGACAATTATAGATTGGGTCACGGTTTAATTCAAAGATGGCTTGCACATAATGTACATCTGATTTTTAAAATTGTAGCAAATTTAATGTTCCGAGTTTTAACTTAAAAGAGCTGCTTTTTTTTTTTTCTTCATTTCTCCCGCTGAGTTCTAGCAGAAGGGAGGTGAGTACGCCTCAGTACAAACCTTCCCCTTTCGTCTGAAATTAGTAAAAAGGCAATGTTCAAAAGCACAGCTCCAATGTGCGTTTAAAAGTAAAGAACGAAATAAAAATATATAAATAAATAAAATGTGGTCTGTTTTTTATTATGGTAAAACTTTGATCAATTCTCACAATGGCTTGAAGGAATGATCTGTTTATGAATTGCGCACTGGAGGAGTCAAGACTCAAGTGCTTTATTCAATCCAGGATTACTAAGGAACTAGAAAAGGTATCTTCGGTGGATAGATAGGAACTGGGTCCCTATCCCTAAACTTTCTGTAAAAAAATAAATACCGTCCATACCTCAGTGTCAGGCAAAGTTCTGGTTTGGCAAACCCAGTAGGCGACACTGAAACGGATCAGCATGACCCAGGAGCGTAAATAATAAACACACTCGAAATTCCTCCTTTGGTTTCTCTATAGTGTCAGGTTTGGCAACTCTCACATTTTATCAGTTACCAGATTTTAATGTGAGGAAGGAAGCGGTTCCATTATCTAAATATACCCAATTGTTCGCGAACAGATGATGGGCAATTTGATCTGCTCTGTCTAATTCATCAGTACAGATAAGATAAGAAAGAAAAGGCAGTCAGATATCACCAAAGGGGTTAATATTTAAAAAGATTAAATGTCAGTTATTTTAGCAAAGAAACATTTCGGTCTAGGTTTTAACCTCCCCATAAAAGGATCCTTCATTCTAAAGGAAAATTCGGCTTTGTTGTTGTTTTTCTTTTGCCTTTTTGTTTTTGATAGGCCTGAGTTAAATAACGGGGTTTGTGTGTGTTGTTTCCCCCCCCCCCCCCTTTCCCCCGTGTATTTATTTTTACGGCACGCATGCTCTAAGTACTTTTCTTTTGCCTTTGCAAAAACAGAGACACGTTTCTCAGGTTTTGTTAAAAAGCGTTCAGTTCCGTGTTGCATTTACTACCTACAGTATTGAAAATTTACTGCATTGCCTACGATTTCCCACTCTTAGAATCACAGGACGCATTGCCAAAGTCCTTGGGAGGGTCCCACACAGTCGCTAGCTGTTCCCGAAAGTAAGGGTTTTTATACAGAAATTTGTATTTGAATCTGCGGGACAAAAAACTTGACTCCTCTAACTTTTTTCCTTGCCTGTATATCTATAGCAGAATCACTTAGAAACATAACAGTTGTCGTTTCAGACTCTTCTCACAATTTTTCCTCTTCCTACCTCAGTCAGATTTATCAAGTTAAATAAAAAATTAAAAAGGAAAATCACTGAAGAATTAAACAACGTAAATGGCGTACCTGATATAATCTCTTTTACAGTAGGTTTTGCCATCCCTAACAAAGCACGTACAGGTCTCGTCCAAATACTGATTACACTCTGCACACTTCAAACACGCCGCATGCCATTCCAAATCCGGAGAAACCCTCAGAATATACTGATCGTGAATTTGATTGCCGCAACCAACACATAGGGAAATCAGGCGTTTTTCTGAAATGAAAATAAATATGTGATTGACTAGCTGCTTGCACTCCTACAGAGATAAACACACTTTTAGTGTCGTTCCCTTATAGGAAGTACTCTGGGAGCGTTGCTCTTTTATTTATTTATTTATTTTTTTTTTGAGTATCACATTTTTGGATGGTAATTGAAGTGTGCCATCAAAACCATGCCTCGTTCAGAAAGGAGGCGGAACATATGCTAAAATAGAGATATGAACAGTCTTAGGGGTGAAGGTTCTCATTTCGCAAGCCTTGCACAGAATCAAAACTCCAAACTCCCTTGGTGTTTTATTTTCATTTTATTGTTTGCTTGTTTGCATGCCTTGCCTCATGGGGAAAGCACCTGTATGTTTGATTCCATTTTTTAAGAGGCTGTGACTGGAAATGGTGGACGCGTGTCTCGGTGCGCTTCGCATTCAGCCCTGTGCCACCGAGGAGGGGACTACAGGCAACTAGCAAGAATAACCATCTTTGCGGTTGTCACTTATTCTCTTTTGCAAGTCTAAAGCTAATTCCCCTACACGGACTAGGTGCTGGGTAGTCAGACAGCCTCACCACGGTCTAGCACGAGGAGAATTTAAGGCTCCATGCTTGGAGATCCCATTAAAATCCTGTCTGCTCCTCAAACTTTTAAAAGAGAGCAGGACCCCAGGCTAGTAACGTACAAGGCTAAGAAGCTAAAAACATAACAAGCATGCAGGCATGGCAACAAAGGCACCTTCTCTACCATTCAAATGAATTTCAGCTCTTTAGCAGTTAGCCTGCCTGAAACGATTACAATAGACAGTACATTTATTCCAACAACGGTAAAAATTCCGCCTTACTTTTTGGTGGATCTCCCATGTCTCCCATATCTGTAAGAGGGTGTAATGTCCACAGTGAAATGGTGTACGGTTTCGTTTTAAGACCCCAAAGTAGGTTTGAGAGCTGTCGCTAAAAATGAAAATAATAATAAAAAAATAAAAAAAAAGTAGAAGTATTAACAATAAAAGCAAAAAAAAAAAAAAAAAAACAAACAAAAAAGAAAAAGACACTCGAAATAAAAAAAAAAAAAAAGGCAAAACAAGACACCACCGGCGCGGGAGATACTGTCAGGGCTGCGGAGCGAGAAGGGGGCACGGGGTGCGGTAGGGCGCGGAGAGGTGCGGGGCGCAGCGCGGCGCGGCGCGGCCCCGGGGGGCGCGGCAAGGTCCAGCAGCGCTGCACGGAGCGGTGCGGTGTCACAGCGGTGCGGTGTCGCGGCGGTGCCGAGCTGGGCGCTGGCAGCTCGGGCACTCGCCTCGCCCTTATCTCTTACTCAAACTTCTCTGCTCCAACTCAGCCCGCTCGCCATTGGCCTGACGTCACGCGCCGGGACGTCACGCCTGCGCGGCGCCCATTGGCTGCAGGCTGCGCGGCGCAGCTGCGCTGATTATCATATTTCAGCGTCTGGCGGCGCGGCGGCCCCGGCTCGGGAGCTCGCAGGCAACTTTTCCTCACTCCTCATTTGTATTTCCCTTCATACTTTCTTCTTGTCGCTCTTCTCCATCCCCGACGTTTATCTCCCGTCACACCTTTCATTCTCCTTCCCGGCTCCTCTCCGGCTCCTTCACCCTTCCCCCTCTCGGTCTCACCGTGCCGCATTTACTGTTTCCATATATATATATATACACATATACACACATATATATGTGTACATATATATATGTATAACTTTTTTCTTTTCTCTGGTGATGGAAGGGAGGTGGTGGTGTTACTCCAACTATTTCCTTTCCGGGTGCTTATCTTTCTTAGGTGGGAGCCGCTGTCCTGGTTTCCCTAGGCAAAGCTGCCCTGGTCGGGGAGGGCAGGACGGGCTGGTTGGGCATCGCCCCAGCCACTGCCCCGATGTGGGACTGTTTATGTTTGTCCTTCAGCCCCCTTTTCCCTTAAAATCGCGGATAAAAGCTTCATGTATTTCTGTTAAACACAAGGTCGAAGAAGGTGCAAATATTTACCCTGAATTGTCTTTGAACACTCCCTCCATTCTATTTATGTTTTCCAATCCCTTTTAAATCCTTTTCCTTTCTTTTTTTCTCTCTCCCTCCAACCCCCCTCACCCCTCCCAGTCTGCAAATAGAAACGCATCCTGTGTTTAGGCGGTTTCCTAGGTTGGCTGGGAATGGAGATTGGCGAAGAAAAGTGAGGAACTTGTGTTTCTACCAGAGGAGAATCCCCTATATTTCTTATTTAAAATTAAAAAAGAAAAAAAAGAAGGGTTGGTGGGCGGGGGGAGGGAGGGTGGGGGGAGAAGAGGAGGACTGCGCGGCTCTGCGGCGCTGCTCCCTGGAGGCGATATGGGGAAGCGGAGACCCGCAGCTGGGCGCGGTGCAGTGCTTGAGTCCCCCAGCCGCTCACTGGCGCAGGGCGCCCCGCAGCCCGCCCCACCAGGCACCGGCTCTGCAGGCCTTTGGGCTCCAGCGGCCCGTTATCTGAATCCTCCCAAATCAGGGAAAATGTAACTTCCCTGTGGGCACGGATTTCTTTGTGTATATTTTTCAAAGGGCAGGCTCCGCTTAAGCTGTACGGTGCCTTTCGTCTACTCTGTGCACGGAACTGTACCCACTCTCCAGTGGGTTTACCCTAAGATCTCCTGAATCCTCCCCCCACCATGGTAAACCTGCCCTCTGAATTTGTTTAAATCCCAGTTTTGTGTTTTCTTCCATATGGGCTCTTACACCGCCCTTATCAACGTGTACACTGTATAAGTGCCCTCCAATCACTACTCATCAGGAAAATGCATTTTTTTCAAAGTCTTATTTTGTTTTTGAAGAGGAAGCCAGGTTTGTGTAGAAGAGAGGCAAGCCGTATTCTCAGGGAATATGTTCCCTCTGGGAAATATGGTTGCAGTGAAACAGCCAAGAAAAAGTTCTGAAACTCACATTTTCTGACGAGACAGCTACTAAACAACGGACTTCCCCGGTGTCCTAACTTAGTCTGCAAGATGTTTTCCTTCCCAAAGCTGAGGGAACCAACGCACTCTCCAACTTTATTTCAGACAAGAAGTGGGACCCAATGTTGTCACTTGTAGAGATAACTAAGCTGGCTTGAAGTGATCTCAAGATAGTGTCAGGAGGTAGAGATACGGTTGCAAACACACACAGAGTTGCTTTACATATTCGACATTTAAATAAACAGTGGGGAATGCAACTCTGCTAGTTGATCACTTCTACACCCTAGAAACTTGCGATATACATATGTGTGTATGCATATCAGTGTGTATATATGTATAAAAGAGACTTGGTATACGTATACTTTATAATTCTGCCTGTTAGCTGAGTAAACCAAAAGCAGTTATCAGGAATTACTGCCGCTGCTGCCAGCTTTGGACAGCCTGACACATGTTTGGACGGGGCAAACCTCTGGCGATGGCCAGTTTCACCTCAGTCAGCTCAGGATGCAGTGCCGTCCCGTGCTCCCCCCCGGACCGGGGGAGCCCCGCCGTGCCCACGCTCGTCCACGCTCCCCGCCGCCAGTAGCAGCCGGACACCCACCCCACACTCCCCGCGTGGCCGCACTGCGCGTTGCGGAGCTCGGCATGCGCAGAGACGGCACCATCGTGGTGGGTCGGGGGATCGCGCCCGCCGGTGTCCGATCCACAGCCCGGGCTCCCAGTCCCTCACCAGGCTGCCCCCGCGACGGGGCGCGCAGGTAGCGCGCAGGCAGCGCTCAGGCAGCACGGCGACCTCTGCTGGCCGAGAGGCGACCAGCCCCGCGCGGGGGGGAGCGTTTAAGACCTTTTGTGCCTTTCCGCCGAGCACTCTGCAAGTATCAGCCGCTTCTCCCCCTAACCTCCAGGACGGGGCATGGCGAGACACACCTGCAGCCGCCTCTGTGACCTGGTGGTGTGCGAACTGGCGAAAGATGCCAGTAATTAACAGCAACAACAGCAACAAAAGAGTCATCCCCATGACTGAGAAAAGAAAAATCAGCGGATTTTGTGGCACTGAAACAGCTAAGGTGCTTTTCCATACTGTGCCCTATGCATTTTCCCCCTGTGGATGTTTGTATTACTTTTAAAAATTGTGCCTGATTAAAGCACCTTTCCTCCCTGCTCTGGTATAACGTTTCTGAAAATAATTCAGTCTGGTTTTAATTCTGTTAACCCCCACCCCCTAACTTTGGGGATTTGACTGCTACTCGTGGGAGAGGTGACTGCATTTTAAGCTTGATCTTTGCCAATGATGTGCAATAAATGAGAAACCTGTCTCCTCCCCAACCATCCAGAATTGGGAGGAAAAGGAGGGCTTTGATCAAGGGGTTTTTCCCCCCTCCCGTGCCACTGATTTGCTTACTGTGTATTCGATTCGCGTTCCCAGGAAGGCGAAGCTCTATATTTAGCCACCATCAGAATCGGGTTTAAGGGAGTGGAATAATGAGTGGAACTGCCAGTTTCAATGAATAAGGTATTTAGAGAAAAACCCTGCTGAAGGATTTCTCTTTTATGATATTAATATACACATGAATGGGAAGACATAAAATGGAATTTTTACATATTTGAGACACTTCCGAAAATACATGTTAGTGTTAATTTATTAATTTTATTCCCACGCCCCCCCCCTTTTCTTTTTTTCTTTGTCATTTTCTTATTTATTTACTTTTAGGGAAGTAGCTGGGGGAGCCAGCAAAAAGTCGGTTGCTCTACGCAGCAATCAATAGCTTTCATCACGTTGAGGGGCTCAAATGAGATTATATCCATTCGAGGGAAGCGAGCAGGGAAGGAAAAAAAAAAGAAAAAAAAGAAAAAAAAAGAAAAAAGAAAAAAAAAAAGAAGAAAACCAAACCTCAACCCGACAGCGGCGAGTAACCCTTTCCGTCCCGTAAGGACAGCTATAAATTCTACTGAGTTTGCTTAGCGGTGCAAACTAGGACGGCTTCCAGGGAGGGGGTGGAAGGAGAAAAAAAACATCTGCTTTGGGAGATGATGGAAGAGGTAGTTCTGGCTTCTGCAGGGAGGCAGCACTGGGGGTTGTGTGAGATGCCCTTGCAGGCCAATGCTGCGGCGGCCGAGCCCCGGGAGCTGAGAGGCTGCGGGGGCTCCCCACCAGCCCCGCCGGGCCTGCCTCCGTCACCGTGTGGGGATCAGCGCCGGGGACCCGGACGCGGGCTGCAGCGAGGTCCACCTGCGCACGGTGGCTCACACTGCGCTTGGGAGGGCTGGTTTTGTTCCTTTACATCACGGTGACTCTGCACAGCCTCGCCGCTCGGGCACGGGCAAAGGTCCTCCGGCCAGCTCCGGTTCAAAACTTTTATTGAGGAGATTTGGGCCAGAAAGGTGCTTTGCAAGAAGAGCCAGAGTTCAGATTTTCCCTCTCTGCCTTGTGGAATGTGATGAGACCAGGGCTGTGCCCCTGCAATGCACCGAGAGGGTAAAGGAGTTTCGCGCAAGGATGAAAATGGAAAGAACGCAGAGGGAAAGTCAATCACGAAATGTATTAGCTCCTCCAGAGCGTAGGCTTTGACTCATCTAGAGGTGTGCGATCTTTAATCTTCGAGTCCTAGCTACTGCGTGTGAGGGAGAAGTGTACCGTAACAGTGCTGAATCTATCAAAACACAAGAAAACTGTCAGTGGGCTTCTGCGCACCCAGGAAACCCTCGTGACTTTAAAAATACAATTTGGCTTATTGAATCGCGCTATCGCTTAAAAAAATATACTAAGAAAGCCATCCTTTTTTGTCCGTGAGCCTTCCCGGAGTGCACTGTCACAGGACGGTCCAGAGGCATCGGCACCAGTTTAATCTGGTCGGAAAGGGACACGCTGTAACGGGGAGTGCAGGCAGGGAGCAAACGTCTTTGGCAGTTGGGCGGAAAATAAACCCCCAAAAATTCGGGGGGGGGGGGTGGGGGGGTGGGTGGTGGTGGTGTCGGATCATGAGTGTGAGAATTGGAATCCCCAGAAAGGTGTTAAGAAGGTGGCAGAGAGCAGGTCGGGCCGAACGGTCCTGACCAGACAGGGCTGGAAACGCCGAGTTTCTCCTCAGCCTCGTGCCGCCTGGCCTCAGCGGCGGCAGACAAGGGCGCACACGGGGGACGAGGCGGGTCGGAGATATTTATGGCTTTAAACTTTCCCCTTTGTTATCTTCCCCGTGTCAGGAAGTGTTCGAAGACAGGAAATACGGCGGCGATTTGGTCTCCGGGGTGAACAGAAATCCCTGGGTAGCGAGGGAGTTTAAGGCCCGCTTTCCAGCCCCGGATCTGGAGTGGGTCCCGCCAGGGGGATTGGGCCCTTTCGTTGTCCCCGCTGGCAGTGGGGAGCCGTGAGGGGCATAAGGAAGACAGAGAGCCCAGCCCGGCCCCAAGGGCTCCCGGCCCAAGTCGGAGGGACAGACAGCCGGGAGGGGGGGATGCAGAGCAGCGGGATAGCCCTGTCCCCCCCTCAGAGAGTCTGTCCTGCCGTAAGTGGGAGTAAATAGGTTCTTTGTAAATAGGTTCTTTCCCACTGAAAATTTTCCTCTCCAAAATAACCTAAATCAGCGTCCCTGCTCAGTGCTGCTACAAGGGTGGCTTCTTCAAGTCCTAGGAAAA